GCTCCACAAGGAGAAAAAAGGATTTAGTAAAATAAATAAAGTTTTGTGTCAAAGAATTAGGTTTCAATATTTATGTCAAGGAATTTTGTGTCCAAAAGGTTATTTTTAACAGCTCACCGCACATTTTATTTAATGGCTAGCCTATCCCAAATACTATCCTAGCTGTATCCTGATACACATCTTGCTCGCTTTGCTTATGATTTAACACACAGACGAATCCTTTTATATAAATTTTATATATATATATATATATATATATATATATATATATATATATATATATATATATATATATATTTATATATGTAAACTAAAACAAAAGTACTCTATAAACCTATAAATGTAGGCTTGCTCGCTTTGCTTATGTTTTAACACACAGACGAATCCTTATATATTTATATGTGAAACAAAAGTACTCTATAAATCTATAAATGTAGGCTGATAAAAAAAATGATAAAAAGCGAACATAAAAAGCAAGCAATTACTACATAATAACCTAATTGTCTAGGAAAAGCCCAGGAATCGTACACGATTTGTTCATTTCTGATTTACCAAACGACTTTTGTTCGTCGGCTAGTTAGCCCCGCGGCAAAATACGAAACTACGGAACTCCGCTGAATACCCAACCCTGAGGGGAGACTATCCAACTAAAAAAAAAACTACTTGTCCTTTAATAGTTTAACACGACCAGACGACCGTGCGTGGTGTTGCGTCCCCTTATTTGAAAAAAAAAAAAAAAAAAAAAAAAAAAAAAAATCCACCGCCCGTGATCCCCGGGGGGTGAGGCTGGCTTTTAGCACTCGCACCACGGAGTTTTCCATTTCAGGCTGATCAACTCAACACATTGGCCGCTCTGCCAGTGACAACTGCGCACATTTCTATCTCGTTTGGGCGCCATTTTGGGCGCGCGCCAAGAGGATATGGTCACTGCGAGGGGGGCAGGTTTTCCTGTTGCACCAAGTCACGTGATAGCCCTGGAAAAAAAGGGGGGGGGGGGGAGCTGGACCGTGCAATCGTTGACAAGTCAAACTTAAAAATATGACTTGACACATGCCATGTTCTGATTGGATAATTGAGACCACGTGACCTGTTAACGCTAGGGTTTGTTGAGAATTTAAAGACAGTAATGGGGGGAAAAAGGAGGATTAAAAGGTCGAAGGGTCGATATTGAAAAAAAACAGTTCAATTAAATTCAGGTCGAGAGGAAAAAAACAAAGAAAAAAGGGGGGTGGGTAGGGAGATGTAAAATGGATAGACAGAAATAGTAAGAAATATGGACTAATATACAAATAGACACTATAAGAGATCTAGACAGAAAGAAAGATGGACAGAAAGAAAGACGGATAAAAAGAAATATGGAAAAATACAAACAGACAGTATAAGAGAGCTAGACAGAAAGGAATTTGGAAAAAAAGAAAGACGAATAAAAAGAAATATGGACAAAATGATGGATTAAAAGACATATTATGGACTTCTTCTTCGTTCTTAATTATTAGTGTGGAAGGGGATCGAGATTTATCTGCCAGCGGGTTTGAACTCGAGACTTTGTTCGAATTTACCAACCATGAGCTTTTTATATTATGGACAAAAGGATAAAAAGAAAGAAAAATGGACAGAAAAGACACCAACATCAATTTATTCTAAACTCAGACAAGTGGGATATTCAAAGAGTAATTTTTAATTGGGCGAGAATCTTACACCATTTAATTTGGTATAAGTGCCACCCGAACACCATGGTGTCCAGTATTCAGACACCTTACAGGTGTACTGACAAAGGTAGATATAGCACCGGAAATATCAAAACACAAATAACTTTCACTCACAGCAAGGTCATCTGAGCAAGGTCACTTGACCAACTTTAATGAACCCAGGTCACCTCACCATGTTCAACCGACCTAGGTCATTATACCAAGGTCACTGGAACAAGGTCATTGGACCAAGGTCACTTGACCGAGTTTAACGAACACAGGTCACCTCACAACGATCAGCTGACCTAAGTCATTATACCAAGCTGACCAGTCACATGACTCAAGTCACCAAAGTAATCAGGCAAAAGTCACCTGCTCAAGGTAGTTAACCGAGGTCACTGAACCAAGGTCACCAGACAAAGGTCACCGGACCAAGGTCACTTGAGTCATTTAATCAAGGTCACGGGGCCACTGGACCAAAGTAACCGAACCAAGGTCACCGGGGTAATGGGACCAAGGTCACTGGGGTCACGGGACCAAGATTACTGGGGGGGTCACTGGGCCAAGGTCACTGGACCAAGGTCATTGAACTACGGTCGCATTTCGAAAGTCGGGGCTTTAATCTCTACTAAATTAACTACAATTGATTTTTAGTGACGAGGGCTTAGCACATATTTTAAAAGTCTGCTATTTTAACGAGATAGGCGCACTGAGTTAAAACAATGCAGAACTATTGAATTTTTTAAAATAAGCAGACGTATTAAATAATAAACGTTCTATTCGGTTAGCCGTACCCACTGATTAGAATCATAAGTATCGCTGAATTGTATCTGCCCCTCCCCTCCTTCCACAACCTTAACCCTAGCCATAATCATACATCACGCCTTTGACTGTATCGGAGCCACGATAGATTCGATCATGGGGTACGGCAAACCACAATATAAAGTTACAAATAAACATCACACTTGAGTTCTTGACTGCGCGGCAAGAAATAATTCTGCCGATCCCCCCAACCTTTCCTAGTCTATTATCATTTATAAAGCCTTCCATTTATCAGAATTCTCCGTCTGGAAAAAAAAAAGATTTTTTTAAAAAATCAGTTACTTCCCCTTTAACTTAAAAAAAAATCAGTTACATCCCCTGTTACTTTTTACGAATAGTTGCCCTATCGTCCCTTGAAAAGAAACAGACGAAATAGAAACAAATCTAACATAGTGCACTACATTCTTCTCCGCGATTCTCTAGAAAGTATTGATTCTCAGTGTCTCTGGGATTTTTTTTCTACGAACGATCAAGACATCAAGATTTTAACCTCCAACCCGGGTCTTAGTCTTTAATAAAGCTCGTTTTTTTTTCTCGATTATTTCTAGTTTTGTTTCCATGGTTACTGGATTTGTGCTGTGTGGTTTTTTTTTCATATTCTATTAAGGATTGTTTAAGCGTATGGGAGTTAAGAAAGAAATATTCCATGACAATAGTTTTTGGAAGTATAAAATAATCTGCAGCTTTTTTTTTTGGCGTACTTGTACTTCAGGGAGGCAGTAGCGTAGCGGGGGGGGGGGACATATGCCATCGGGCGCCGACCTTAGGGGGCGCCAAAATGGGTTGGAAAAATAAATTGAAAGGTTGAAGGGAGTGTAAATCGAAATCTTGAGAGGGGGGGGGATGCAAATCGAAAGTTTGTCCCCGGGCGCCGGGAAGGGTCGCTACGCCTCTGCAGGGAGGGTAGCTTTGGTTATTTATTTGCTGTTGTTTCGTTGGATCTTGTTTAAATTAAATGATGCTGCAATGTTGTCCAACCATGGGACAATCTTCACGTAATCTTAGAAAATACTACCTTTACTGTGGTCGGTCGCTCAACAAAATCTTAACAAGATCACACAAAAATACTGCTAAAATCACACAACACCCAACCCGCTAAAATCACACAACTCCCAACCCGCTAAAATCACACAACACCCAACCCGCTAAAATCACACAACACCCAACCCGCTAAAATCACACAACTCCCAACCCGCTAAAATCACACAACTCCCAACCCGCTAAAATCACACAACTCCCAAGCCGCTAAAATCACACAACTCCCAAGCCGCTAAAATCACACAACTCCCAACCCGCTAAAATCACACAACTCCCAACCCGCTAAAATCACACAACTCCCAAGCCGCTAAAATCACACAACTCCCAAGCCGCTAAAATCACACAACTCCCAACCCGCTAAAATCACACAACTCCCAACCCGCTAAAATCACACAACTCCCAAGCCGCTAAAATCACACAACTCCCAACCCGCTAAAATCACACAACTCACAACCCGCTAAATCACACGACCCCTTATTGAACCAGACATTCCGTTACCAAGATCTTGGTACTTTACAACCACGGTCCCAAGAGAACCCATCAAGATCATCCACCTTGCCAAGATAACAAAACACCAATTTTACCAAGACCACCCACCATATCAAGACCACCCACCTTAACAAGATCATCAAACTTACAAAGATCACACATCTTAACATGACCATACAACACACCTTATCATTATCATAAAGTACCCAACTTACTAAGATTATATAGCATCCACCTTACCAAGACCACCCACTTTACCAAGATCACACAAAACACCCACTTTACCAAGATCACACACCTTACCAAGATCACACAAAACACCCACTTTACCAAGATCACCCACCTTACCAAGACCACAAGACACCCACCTTACCAAAATCACAAAACACCAACCTTACCAAAATCACAAAACACCAACCTTACCAAAATCACAAAACACCAACCTTACCAAAATCACAAAACACCAACCTTACCAAAATCACAAAACACCAACCTTACCAAAATCACAAAACACCAACCTTACCAAAATCACAAAACACCAACCTTACCAAAATCACAAAACACCAACCTTACCAAAATCACAAAACACCAACCTTACCAAAATCACAAAACACCAACCTTACCAAAATCACAAAACACCAACCTTACCAAAATCACAAAACACCAACCTTACCAAAATCACAAAACACCAACCTTACCAAAATCACAAAACACCAACCTTACCAAAATCACAAAACACCAACCTTACCAAAATCACAAAACACCAACCTTACCAAAATCACAAAACACCAACCTTACCAAAATCACAAAACACCAACCTTACCACAATCACAAAACACCAACCTTACCAAAATCACAAAACACCAACCTTACCAAAATCACAAAACACCAACCTTACAAAGACCATACACCCACCCCCACCCTCACCCCCTCACCACCTGCGCCCCACTCCCCTTCACTCACCTGTCCTGTAGAAGTCTATGATCGAGTTAAACACCGCCGGGTGCCTGTCAAAAAAATACTCTTGCCTCCCGCCCCCGCTGTCCAGATGTAACTCCGCCAACCTCGACAGTCTGGAATTGGGGATCGTCCTGAGGGTGGACACATGAGTCTCGTGCCGGACACCCCCCACGTTGAGCAACACCCTCTCGTCCCCCCCGTCCTCGGCGCAGTCCGCGTCGCTGGCGAACCGCTTGGGGGTGTTCTCCGTCCCGGCGGCCGCCGAGCCCAGGAAGCTGGAGGTCGCCTGGCGTTTGACCCGCGCCCTCATGGCCGGGGTACCTCCAGGGCGCGGACGTGTGAGAGGGATCCGATCTGAATGCGACTCGAAACCCGTCGAGCTCATGGTGGGTTTTTTTTTTTTTAAATTTATATTTTAAAATTTTAAATTGGCTTTCTTAGAATTGCGTAACCAGCCTGGTAGAAAATAAATAAAATCCTCGTCGTCATTTTGTTCCAAGATTATAATTTTTTTTATAGTGTAGTAAAACTTCGTCAAATCTGTCCCATAATTTCAGCAAGCACCTAGGTGACCCTTTCATAAACGGTGCCTCGTTTGGCCCGTCCAGTCGAATTCCTTCAAGCAGGCGGCCGATTCTCGTCTGCCGGGTTTCGTCTCAAGGTCAAGGTGGCGTCTGCCGGCTTCCAACTTCCCGCCCTGGGCCGCGACATTGCCGAGCATCGATTTGGGCTGAGTCGTACTCATGGCTTTACGCGCCCATTTAAGGACAAGACACAAAGCCTTAAAAAAAAAATCAACTTTGATCTTTACTAAGTATACATTATACTAGGTATACATTGTACTTTGGTGTAAATTATAACAGGTATTTCTATACTTGGGCATACAGCCGCGCGAAGTGCTGAAGCTGAGCTCTAAAGTCATAAAATATCCCAGGTGAAAATTACGGTGACACCGTATGGTGGTTGGGTATCGTTGTTGGCGTTCATGCTCCACTTCATGATAAGCACGTCTAGCTTTCAGCCAACATCTAAAATAAAATAAATAAAAAGAGTTTTACATTTGAGAAAATAACACCTTTAAACATAATTCAATTTGTTTTGATTAGATTAGATCAAAATGTTTTACATGTAAATCATTCTACGCTCTATAGACAAAAACACAGTAGAAAAACAAACACACATAAAAGTCTTGCATTAGTGTGCAAATTTGCAGTGCTATTAAACAGCATATACGAAAGACAATCTAACTATATAATTGCACTAATACCATCAATTTATTTTTCGGTGTCAGGTTTGAATAGTCTACGTTTTTTTTCTTTTTTTTTTTTTTTTTTGCTGCCGATATTGATTGTAGCGATAACGTTAAATTCAAGTTTTAGATTAGAGTTAAATATAGCTCCAAGGTTAGGATAAGTGTTCAGAAAGTCCCTGGTTTAAGTTAATTCAGCAGTATCAGCAAATAACAGGCGAACTCTACTTCACCTGCCACATGGACCGCCATGCTTTGACAAGGTAACTTAACTTACTTACCAACAAATTTTAAAAATGTATAAAATAAAATAACGACCCAATTATGTCGATGATCATACAAGTACGCAATTGCTAATTTATCCGATAAAATGTATCCAAACATGAATATCGGATGAAGGCTAAATCAAACCTAGACACATACAATATGAAGTGGCTTGTTGGCTAATTGAAAACAACAAGAGCTTTGCCACACACAGCTCCAAGCTTTAAAGTTTGGGTTAGTCAGTGCTGAGCTAATCCACTTCTTAAACTCTAAACCTTTAAAGTTATATTGGGGTCACATTTCAGAAAAAAAAAACATGATCCCCCCCACCACCTCCCACAAATTATGACTCCCCCTTCTTCGCGACCCCCTCCCCTCCCTCACTGCAATTAAAAGTTCCGATTACCGAAAACACACTCAAAAAAATTCAAAAGCCTTTATAAAAAACTATGTTTTGAAAGTATTAAATTTCTATAATCCAGACTTTCAACTAAGTTTCGGTCACATTTTGAAGAAAAAAAAATTATATCTTAAAACTACGACCCCCCCCCCCCCCCAGGTAATATATTTAGATTAATGAATCTCTCTCGAAAAATACAACAACATACACACCATTATGCTTCTACATTTTTAATTCAGTTTATTTTTGGAAGGGATTTCCCCCAACACAATTAAATTACGTGTCAACTTGTTATTAGCAATACAGGCCATTGTCTCCCGATTTCAGCCTGCTTTTCGTCTTGGATTTGCTTGCTGTCGGCTGTTTGCTTCGATAGCCTTTTGTCCAAACAAAGTGCAAACTACAAGGCAGCTGTTTTGATTTTAGAGTTGTCTCTGCTCAATGTCTCTACCCCTCCCCTCCGCCACACGTCGTCACAAAAAGCCAGACCCCCCCCCTTAAATGACGTCACACTTCAGCCTACAACCCCCCCCCCCTTAAAATTACAGTTGAATTTTTTTTTAAACATCGATATTTTCCCAAACTCTTGTCTGAAATCTGTCAAAATAGAGTATTTTAATCAATTCCTATTACAATTTATTAGAACAGTTTTCTAAAACGCGAAATAACACCTAAAATTCGTTTTGTAACATTTCTTTTTTATAATGAAAAAACTGTGACGTCGCACTATCTGAACCCCCCCTCCCCCTCATCACACATCGTCACAAAATTACCGCCCCCTGTCCCCCTACGAGTGTGACGTCATTTATCTACGACCCCCCACAGACCCGACCACGTGGACCTCTATTACGCTCTGAAAGTATTAAATTTCTTTGAACCTTTCGGTCACATTTCCAATATATATATATATATATATATATATATATATATATATATATATATATATATATATATATATATATATATATATATATATATATATATTAAAAGTACGTCTACTCCCCTCCCTAGGTAATACATTTCGATTAGTGATTCCCCCCCCCCTTTAAAAATAAAAAAAAAACATACAAAACTACACTTAGAAAGTCTTAAATCTCCCCCAATCGCTCAGACCACCAAAAGGCCCACAAAACAAACCACGAGCAGAAATGTTTTCCTAATTTACAATATTCAAGGGCCGCTCACCGAGAATTCTAAAGGGACGCCACCCGGCCAAAATTTGGACAAGCAGGCAGCCTAAGAGACGAAAAAAGGGGAATCTATTAGCATCGATTGCCGGCGAGTTTGTTCCCTTTACATTTCAGCCGAGCAAAGAAAAACACATTCCATTATGGAGTAATAAATAGTTACTTCGCTTGAGGAAGGGTTAAAGGTGGCCCATGTTGGAGCTAGGGATAATTAATAGTAGGCTAATAACCGTTATCGTTATTTTGGTTAATAATAATTAAATAGATAAAAAAAACTAAATTAAAAGTTGTTTCCGTTTGAAGTGTTACTGATTTCAGATGCTACCGTTTGCTATGACGTCATAGAGTAAGTCTGTGACGTCAGACTGTGAGGATGAGATCGTGACGGTAGATGTAACACGGTACGTGAGGCCAGACGTCAAGCTGTGGCGTCAAATTTCCGGCGGTGGTGCCGTGACGTGACGTTACAGAGAGGACGTCAATCTGTGGACGTTCAACGGCTGACGTCAAGCTTCGAAGGGGGGGGGGGGTGTAGGGGGGGTGATTCGTCAGTCTGTCACCAAGTCTCCCCCACAGCAGTTAGTGACGTCCGCTGTAGGACGTCATCCACGTGATATTCCCATGTTGACGTCCTTCTACTAACGTCTCTTCATTAACGTCACATAACGTCATACACTCGCCATCCTTCTAACAGCCCCCACAACGTAACGTCCTACAATTGACGTCCGCCACTTGCCGCACTCCTATAGATAGACGTTCCTCTATTAACCCGTGGAACTTGACGTCACTCAATTGACGGTTTCATAGACGTGATCGAATTGCCGTTTCACGATTTACATAGTTCTATAGACATAAGCAAACAGACGTCCACCACTTGATGTTAGCCAATTAACGTCAGCGACTTTGCACACTACAATTTACCTCTGCCAAAACACGTCCACTACTTGACGTCCGCTACTTGCCATCCACACTATACGTCCGCGACTAAACGCCCACCACCAGATGTACGCTACTTTACCTCTCCCACCAAGACGTCCGCAACTAGACGTTCACCACTTCACGTCCGCCAATTGACGTCCGCTATTGGACATCCGCTACTTGACGTCCGCTACTAGACGTCCGCTACTTGACGTCCGCTACTAGACGTCCGCCAATTGACGTCCGCCAATTGACGTCCGCTATTGGACATCCGCTACTTGACGTCCGCTACTAGACGTCCGCTACTTGACGTCTGCTACTAGACGTCCGCTACTTGACGTCCGCTACTTGACGTCCGCTACTAGACATCCGCTACTAGACGTCCGCTACTTGACGTCCGTTACTTGACGTCCACTACTAGACGTCCGCCACTAAACGCCCACCACCAGACGCCCGCTACTAGACGTCTGCTACTTGACGTCCGCTACTAGACATTCACCATTTAACGTCCGCTACTAGACGTCCGCAACTTGACGTCCGCCATTTGACGTCCACTACTTGACGTCCGCTACTTGACGTCCGCTACTAGACGTCCGCTACTTCACGTCCACTACTTCACGTCCGCTACTTGACGTCCGCTACTTGACGTCCGCTACTTGACGTCCGCTTCTTGACGTCCGCTACTTGACGTCGCCACAACAAACTGCTATTACAAAAAAAAACAACCTCTGAATGAAAAACGTTTCCCCCGCCCCTAGTCTATTGATCCCGACTCGTTCAAATTTGTCAAGTACATCCCTTGACACAAGATAGCGGCGCCCGTCCCGTCCCCCCCACCCCCCACCCCTCCAGACGAGGGCCAGCTTCAGACGGAAGTGGGGGATTAAACATTTGGTCTCTCCCCCCCCCCCTGCACTAGAGATACCGAGACGATCTGGACATGAACAGGTCGAGGGGAGGAACCTACGTGTGAGTATCAACAAATTTATAACCTCGGTGTGAGTACATTCGTGTGTGAAATGGCGAGTGGTAGGTTGGGTAGGTTTAAGGTGTGAGTATAGGAGAGGTTGGGTAGGTTCAAGGTGTGAGTATAGTAGAGGTTGGGTAGGTTTAAGCTGGGAGTATAGGAGAGGTGGGGTAGGTTCAAGGTGTCAGTATAGGAGAGGTTGGGTAGGTTCGACCTGGGAGAATTGGAGAGGTTGGGTAGGTTTAAGGTTGGAGTATAGGAGAGGTTGGGTAGGTTCAACATGGGTGTATAGGAGAGGTTGGGTAGGTTCAAGGTGTGAGTATAGGAGAGGTTGGGTAGGTTCAAGGTGTGAGTATAGGAGAGGTTGGGTAGGTTCAGGTTGTGAGTATAAGAGAGGTTGGGTAGGTTCAAGGTGTGAGTATAGGAGAGGTTGGGTAGGTTCGACCTGGGAATATAGGAGAGGTTGGGTAGGTTCAGGGTGTGAGTATAGGAGAGGTTGGGTAGGTTCAAGGTGTGAGTATAAGAGAGGTTGGGTAGGTTCAAGGTTGGAGTATAGGAGAGGTTGTGTAGGTTCAACCTGGGAGTATAGGAGAGGTGGGGTAGGTTCAAGGTGTGAGTATAGGAGAGGTTGGGTAGGTTCAAGGTGTGAGTATATAGGAAAGGTTGGGTAGGTTGAAGGTGG